CTTGAGCTTGTCAGGCAAGCACTTATTCTACTAAGCCATCTCTCCAGACCCAATATTAGATTTTTTTATAGTGATGTTTTTATACCATTGTATTCAAGCTGGTTTTAGTTCTCTCTCCTGTCACATGTTTTACCTGATAGCTTATTATTTTATTTAAATTTTTTTCTATACAGAAGCATGTGCACTCACACATCTGTGTGAAAATACAAGATGGAAAAGGGAGTTGAAAAGTGCTCATCTAAATCTTGAATTGTAAGGGTAAAAGCAGTGCATGATGAAATAAGTGTATATGTAATCTAATACCTTATGGGATTATTTATATGGAGGATAATTTTCAGGGTAAAAGAACAGACTTGTCATGATGCTATGAAATATAATTTTATATGACACTAGGGAGATCATTATAAATTAAGAATGATCAAAGTGAGGACAAATATAGCACTTCTATTGGGATGTGTGCATGAGAGAGAGAGAGAGAGAGAGAGAGAGAGAGAGAGAGAGAGAGACAGAGACAGAGAGAGAGACAGAGAGACAGAGAGACAGATACAGAGACAGGGAGAGATAAAATCCCAAAGCCGCAGAATAACAAGGAACAAATGTTGCAAGAAAAAGAAATAACAGAGCAATTTTGTAATCTACAATAAGACTGTATGAAAACCAGTACTTCATTAAAAATCCAGACTCAATACATAAACAACTCTTCTTTTTCCTATAAACGTGCCTGAATTCAGTAGCTCTGAATATATTTTTCCTTTAAAATTGTTGACTTATTCATTTTGCTCATTTTTTCTACTGGGATATTCAATTGTTAGATTCTTTGGCACTAGAAAAATAGTCCAAGTTTTGCTTTTTGGATACATTTATTATTGTCATTTATTGTTCTTTTTGAGTTTTAAGGTATCTGGAATATTGTTATAACTAAGGAAGATGTTTCTTCCTCATAGTCTCTGAGGAATTATCTGAGCTTATTAGCCTTTTTTCAATCCCTGAATTTCATTTAATTCTGGATGTTTACTGATCTGTCTTTATGATTGAAAAATGTTTGTTTAGACAGACAGCAGATCACAGCCTTACCAAAATGGAAATAGAATCTGATGTTGATGGTTTGCTTTGCATCCATCCCTCTCTAGAAGTGTGCATGGGTGTGAGAAATTATTATTTACAGAGTTCCAGGTATCCTTATTGTGCTTCCTGTTATCTGAGCTTCCTGTGATTGCTCAGTGTGTGTGTGTGTGTGTGTGTGTGATTGTTCGATTGTTCAGTGTCTGTGTGTGTGTGCATGTGCAAACGTGTATACAACTGAGTGTGTAAAAATAACTTAGGAGTGAATGTAGACTTCACAGTAGGGGGATTTATGGTCAATGTAATACAAAAGGTGGCAATAACACAGAAGCCAGAACGCACAGCAATATAGGGAAATAAAGGCTGATGTCATTTAATGGGAGCTTTGGGCCAATTTATGAAAACAAAAAAAGAAAGAATCCTTTTGTTTTCAAGTTTTATCAACAATACAGCTATATACTTTGTTTTGGATTCCAGGACTTGAAATCAGTAACTGGGTTAGTTGACTGCTTTGTGCATTTCACTAAATACTGTGCCATGAAGCTATCTGCAACATTTTTTCCTTTCTGTTAAAAAAGTCATTTATTTATTTATTTATTTATTTATTTATTTATTTGGCATAGGGTCTTTTTTTCTGACTTCACAGATGTTTATTGAAAAGTCTTGATATCTTTCATAAGTTTCACAAATACCAGGCATGGTGGTACAGTCCTCTACTACTGCTATTCTGGAGGCTGAAGTAAGAGGGTCACAAGTTAAGTCTCACCAAACAATTTAGTCAACTTAGTGATAACCTATCTCCAAACAATAAAAGACAGATACATAGATAACAAAATAAATTGATACTACAAATCGATACTACAAATAGATTCTTAGACAATCTGGTGAAATGTTATATCTTTTGCAGACTTTCTCCATTACAACTTAAGTGATCACCAAATTACATATTTTCTGCACTTCAGAGATATAAAGCATTTCAATTAGATGAAGAGATACTATTTTTTCCATTGAAAGGTAAAGTTTTTTTAGAATTTTTATTTATTTTTATTCATTTTGATGAGAAAAAAGATAAAATAACAATGAAACAGTTTCAAAATAGGTTAGTGGGGCAGTTACAATAATTAATACTTTGCATATTGTCTTCATAGTAGTTATTCAGAGGACAAAATGCAGACATGACATTTTGTCTAAACAATATTAGTACAAAGCTTTCTTCTCGATAAACTAAAAGTAGCTGTATATCTAGCCTAA